GCTGGGGGCACAAGTGCCCTGGGTTGTTCTGGGGCTGGGTCGTTGAGGAGAGAAGCTCTGCACAGTGAAGCAGGGCTCGTTCTGACCACACTCACTAGAGTCCCTTCCCATCAGGCTCCCAGATTCAGGATCTGGAGCTTTGTGTTGGTTGCAAGCTATTGAGCAGTCAAATCAGCGGCCCAGCTGAGCTGTGCTATTCTTAGGAGCATCTGGAAGTCACTGGGTGATTGTGAAGGTCACAGTCCCCGAGTGTTGCTGCTACCAGTTTTTCATGCTTAGGAGTTGACCGTTGTAAATGTCGTACACACAAGTATCTCTTTTTCAGAAGCCAGTGGCATTCCTCTCTCTGTTGAGAGTCCTGGCCTGATGGGTCCACCTATTCCTCACCTCCATACTCTGGCTGTCTTCTTCATTTCTGGGGAGATCTGGCAGCCACCACTTCGTTGCTTGGGTCTGTGAGAACAAAGCTGAGTTCTGGTCGGCCTTGTAGCAGAAGGAAGCCAACACCATCTACACCATCTATTAGGCCCAGGTGGGCTGTGCCAGGACTGGGGGCTTTTGGGTCAGGTTCCCTTCATCCCTGGCATCCTGGAGTAGGAACCTTTGGCCACTGAGCTTGAGCCAACGGGGCCAGTGGAATTAAGCTCCCTGCCCTGTGGCTGCCAAGGAACCTTCTTCCTTGAGCTTGCAGGGGTCAAGAGGGAAGAGAGACAGATGGATAGTCAGCGGCCCTGTTAACAGTGATGCGGACTCCAGGAGAAGGGGAAGGCCCCTCTGCCATGTTCCACCTCTACCATCCTCCTGGGACCCCAGCCTGAATGCCCCACTAAAAGATGCCTTTGCACTGATTCAGAGAATATGCAATGCAAAGGCCCAATTGAAGTCCCATGAATGGTTAAGGGGCCCCTCAGGCTCCCCATTTTTCCCTCAGGCTCTCCATACTCCCCTCAGCCTCCTGATCTTCCAGCAGGGGTGTGGAGTACATCCGTGGCCAAGAATATTGATCTGTCCTTCCCAGCCTGTACATCGCGCCAAGACAGTGGTGAGTGGATGACATGCAGGTGGGATTTCTCAGCTCATCTGCATGGTTGACATTGTGGCTGCTGCTTTTACTGCCACAACTCCCAGGCCCAACCTGGCTCAATGTCTAAGTCGTAAGCCAAAAAAGATGGGGAGCCAGAGCTCTGCGGCAGGGCTGGGGGTTGGGGTTCACTTTAGTTTTGTGGCAGGTTGAAGTCTGCAGTGGTTTTATTTATCATGATTGGCCTGGTGGTAGCTCCAGACTGATGGGGATGGGTTTGTTGTCAGTGGTGGTCCCCTAGATGTCCCTGTGCCCAGCCCTGGCCTGTTTGCCCTCAAGCCCAGCAGGAGGTGCTGCCACAGGCTCCGACTGGCCTCTGTGCTCCCTGTAGCCCAGATGGATATAACTTTGGGGTCTGCAGTTTGAATATATCATTCTCCCCATTTTAACCTGAGCTGCCTGACACAGGGAGGGTGGGGTGGGTAAGGGATCTGGGCAACCAGGGCCCAATCATGGATCCTGGGGAAAGGTTACAGACACAGGAGGGGTTGTCACCTCTCTGTGGAGCCCCGCTCCTGGCCACACAGCACCTTCTGCAGAGACTAGCTCTGGGGGTGGCAGGGGACCCCACAGGCCACGGTTGCACCCTCTCTCCACCTGTCTGTGCCTGCTGTCAAAGCCCAGACTGAGGGAGGAGATTCTACCCTATAAGCCCTAGGGAGTCACATTCAGCTGTGACCTCTGCCTGGGGCTTGGCAGAGAGCTGCCTATGGCTGTAGTGTCACCAGACACCTTGTTTCAGAGGGGGTAGACATAGCTGGCAAGTGGAGCACCCCCACGGCTGATGAGGAACTTTTTCTCATTTTTGAACCACCATGTCTTCATTTCACATTGGAATAAAGTGAGGTTTTGGAACCTGCTGCCCCAGTCTCATTGGATTGTGAGGGCTGTGGTCACGTTACTAAGAGAGGAATCTGTATAAATTAGGTCAAATTCAAGGTTATGCTTGTACTGTCACCTGAGTGGGAGGTAAGAGAGTGGAGTCACAGGCACTCAGCTGGGGTTTACCTGGCCCAGTCACTAGACTCATGGAATTGTGGCACAGGTGAACATCCTATCATTGGTGAGAGAAAAAAAAAGGCTGGAGTGAAGGCCAGGTGGGGGAGGGGTGCCAGGTTGTGCGGCCAGGCCCTAGGCATGCTGGACCTTTTAGGTCACTGAACATTTGACTGGGCACATGCCCCTGTCCCTTCAGTTGAGGTGGGATTGGCAGCACTCCCCAGACAGCATGAGTGCCAGGAGAGAGGAGGAGGACCTGACCCTTGTCATCCTGGAGTAGGTTTTAGAGCTCACTAGATGCTTGTGGAGAGCTAATGAGATGGGAAGAAGGCAGCCCGCCTCCATGGACCTGAGGAACAGAGCCTGCGAAGTGAGAAGTGGGTGTGTGGAGGTGGCCTGTCTACAAGTGGGCAAGTTTAAGGCTCATTGCAGTGGCGCTATTGTTGGGAACGGGTTTATAAAGTCGGGAAGAATCCACAATGAGACAGTAGATCAGTCAGCAAGACTAGTTTTACTTCCTGCAGGAAGGGTGCAACTTGCTGGCAGTCTTGACACGAGAGCATATCTGAACAAGGGAGACAGGGACATTTATAACTTTCATAACATAATCGCCCTACTGCTGTGTCCAGTTTCCACTGGCCAGAACAGGACCTCACATTCTATGCTTGACTCGATTGGCTAAAATCTTGGAAATTTTCTAAAGAGGTAAAGGCAGAAGAGAACAAAGGAAAAGAGAAAGTAACGAGGAATGCTTAGAGAAGTGATAACATTTTCAAATAAGGAAGGGGAATAAGCTATGACTTAAGACTTGCCTGGGCTTGTCAAAAATCTTCAAGAAGCTGCAAAAGAAAAATGCTGAATAGAGTTAAAGGAAAATATGAGCACTTCACAGGGGCAGAAGTAAAGAAAGAGAACGATGCAGAGAAGAAAAACTAAGAAGCAAGTGTTCCCGGCATGCTGCCAGATCAGAGGCTGTTAAAGCTTTGTGGGCTGTTCGCCTCACCTGGTGAAAATGTAATAAAGAAATCACATGACCAGAGGCATCCCTGATGTGATATTTCCCAAACTGAGAACCAAAATAAAAACTATGAAAGACACAAGGAAATAAGGAGGAAGTATCTCAAGAAAGTATGAGCAAAGCTTTGTATGCCGGAATTACGTTTAAAACATTTAAATAAATATAATTTAAAAAGAAAAGACATATTCATTTTATGGAAAGAACAAGACACTATGAAGTTTAAAGGCGTATTTGAAAAAGAGTCAAATGGAATACAAACGAGAGAAAAAATATCAGGCTAGTAGTGTATGGGTTAACCATTAAACAGATGGCAAGAGGACTAGGGAACTGGACTATTAAGCAGAACAAATACAGTCACATACAGTAGAGAGGCAAATTTTATGAAAGATGAGTATGGTTATACACAGATGAGGACCAGAAGGAGTGAAACACACCCGTTTCAGCCAAGTACGATGGCGAGCACCTGTAATCCCAGCACTTTGGGAGGCTGAGGCGGGCGGATAGCTCAGGAGTTCAAGACCAGATTGGGTAACATGGTGAAACCCCATCTCTACTAAAAATAGAAAAATTAGCTTGGTGTGAGTGATGTCGAGCGCCTGTAGTCCCAACTACTCAGGAGGCTGAGGCAGGAGAATCGTTTGAATCCAGGAGGCAGAGGTTGCAGTGAGCCGAGATCACCCCATTGCACTCCAGCCTGGGTGACAGAAGGGAAGGGGACGGGCAGGGGAGGGAGGGGGGACTAATATCCAGAATTTATAAGAAATTCAAACAATTCAACAAAAATAAATAAATAATTCTGTTTAAAAATGTAAAAAGCACATGAATAGACATTTTCAAAAGAAGACATACAGATAGCCAGCAGGCATATGAAAAATACTCAACATTGCTGATCATCAGAGAACTCCAAGCTAAAACCACAATGAGAAATCATCTTACATTAAGTCAGAACAGCTATTATTAAAAAGACAAAAAATAACGGCTATTGGTGAGGATACAGAGAAAGGAGAATCCTTATACACTGTTGGTAAGAATGTAAATTAGTGCAACCTCATGGAAAACAGTATGGAGATTTCTCAAATAACTGAAAATAGAACTACCATTCAATCCAGCAATCCCACTATCTGGTATCTACACAAAAGAAAGGAAATCATTATATCAAAAAGATACCTGTCCTTGTATGTTTATTGCAGCACTGTTCACAATAGCAAAGATATGGAATCAATCAAAGCATCCATCAATGGATTACTGGATAAAGAAAATGTCACACACACACACACACACACACACACACACGGATTACTACGCAGTCATAAAAAAGAATGAAATTCTGTCTTTTGTAGGAACATGGATGGAACTGTGGACCATCATCTTAAGTGAAATAAGTTAAGACACAGAAAGATAAGTATTGCATGTTCTAACATATAAGTAGAGGCTAAATAATGTGTACACGTGGATGTAGGGTATGGGAAGATAGACAGTGGAGACTTGTAACGGTGGAGGGGTGGGAGGGGGTGGGTGATGAAACAGTATTTCCTGTGTACAGTGTGTGCTATTTGGATAATGGATATCCTAAAAGTCCTGACTTCACCACTACGCAATTTATGCATATAACAATTATACCTATACCCCCTAAATTTATACAAATAAAAACTTTTTTACCTGCCAAGATATAATCAAGAAGAAAGAGGAAGCATGAGCAGACCACTAACAAATAAAGAAATTGAAGTAGCAATTAAAACCCCTCAAGAGGCTGGGTGCAGTGGCTCCACGCCTGTAATCTCCACACTTTGGGAGGCTGAGGCAGGAGGATTATCTGAGGGCAGGAGTTTGAGACCAGCCTTGCCAACATGGCGAAACCCCGTCTCTACTAAAAATACAAAATTATCTGGGCCTGGTGGTGGCTGCCTGTAATCCTAGCTACTTGGATCCCTGAGGCACACACCACCGCCCAATTTTACTTCAGGTAGATTTACAACCAGACCCTTTGGTGATAGCAATGTGAGAACAGGAAGTGCAGGTTCAGATTTTTCTGTCCTAAAAATATTTTTTGCAGCTTCTCAATTGCACAGGCTTATGGAATGGTCGGAATGGAGTTTCCGTGTTGAACTTCCCAGGAAGAATCTTTTCTACCTTGTACCTGTAATTGGTCATTTTTCCTCCGGCATCTGAGAAGAGGTTAGCTCAACAGCTCCCATAGCTGGGTAGATCTAAAGGTATGGAAAGTTCCTCTTCATGAATTGAGCCAAAATGGCTTCTGATATTCTTTTCAGCTAAGCTGAAAGATAAACACAGTGGTCCCTCCGTATCTGTGAGTTGCGCATCTGCGGATTCAACCCACCACAGATGAAAAATATTTGGGGGAAAAATGGATGGTGCCTCTGTACGGAACATGTACAGACTTTTTTTCTTGTCGCTATTCCCTAAATAATAGAGTGTAACAACTATTTACTTAGCACTGACGTTTTAGTCAGTATTATAAGTAATCTACAGATGATGCGAAGTCCACGAGAGGATGTGTGTGGGTTACATGCGGTCACTTCGCCGTTCCACATAAGGCGCTGGAGCGATGATCTGTGACTCTCCTAAGGTTCCCCAGGCACTGTCCTCCACCCACGCACACCTGGCCAGGTCTTTCCTGCAATGGTGAGGCTGCCGGCTACTGTCCCGCCTGAACGGGCCGTGGTCCCAGTCACAGACTGAGATTTCCTGAGAAAGAGGACGAAGGAGAAGGCCGCAGCCTCTGCCTGGACCACCGATCCCACCCCAGAGGTGCTCGCCGCCTGCTTCCCTGGGAGGCGCCACTCTCCCACGCTGGGTCTGGGGCCGACCACACCCCAGGGTTGGAAGCTCCGCTGGGGACACTGAGCTAGTTCCCTTTCACCCTGATCAGGGCTGCAGAGACCCACAAAACAACAGCTGGTTCACAGGTCCCAGAGGCTGGAACCAGTAACAATCCCTCTGAGCCCAAACTTTTCCCGCGTTAGAGAGAACACGGAAAAGGCCCAAGGCGGCGCCTCCAGGTTCCCGCGCACGCCCGGGGCCGCGTCTGATTAGTGGGCGGCGCCTCCTCGCTGCGCGCCCCGCCTTGCTCACCCACACCCCGGGTGCCCCCGCCCCCAGGCATCCCCGATCTCCGCCCACCCTCGCCCAGCACCCGCACCCTCCCTGCGCAACCTCCTGCCTGGCTCCCCGCACCCACACCACGGGCACACCCGCCCCCCCCCCCCCCCCGCGCGCCCCCGCCCCGCGCACCCTCCCCTCTGCGCCTGGAGGCTTTTACTGGAGACTCCGCCGCGGGTCTAACACCTTCCTTTCGTTTTTAGAAAGCTTATGAGCCTGGCCCGGCCCTGGTTCCGCCCAGAACCCTAAAATAAAGAGGCTTCGAGTCTAGAGGTCTGGGAGAAAGGGCGCCTAGACCGGGAATTGACCGGAGAAATTTGGGGCAGGGGGATTCAACCCACCACAGGGGGAAGGCGGGCTCCTCTGTTTCCCAATCCTGGTATCTGCCAGGGATGTTGGACCCAAAGGGAAGGGGCCCGCCCGCCTGAAACAAGGGGCGCGCTGAAGGGTTCCCAGGATCCCTTCCAGCTCTAAGTTCCTGCGATGCTCGGGGCTCCGAGGAGGTATTCTTTGATAGTGAGTCCGAAGATCCCAGAATGTTGTTTGAACTGGGGCTACGGACAGGGGATTGAAAAGTTGAGGCAGGGGACCTGACGCAGGATGAACAAGACCGGGAGACTTCCAACAGCTTCCTCCTCGACAAGCAGGTCAACGGACCACGTCTGGGGGGCTTCTATCCCCCTTTCCTGTTTCTGCCACCCCCTCTCCGGCGCAGGCGACCGCCTCTCTAGTCCCCGCCTTCCTGGCCTTCGTTCAGCCTGTTTTAGTTTAGGATCGATGCCCGGTGGTCACTCAAAGCTGCTAACCTCCAGTCTAAGGCATTAAGCCTCCAAAAGCATATCTAAGACGGAGGGCAGAAGGAAAGGGACCGACTGCCTCCGCAAGTCAGGACAGACCATGGAAAACAAGCCAGGAAGTCCAACAAAACCAGCATTGCTCTTTATTGAGGTGTCGGGGTAGAGCAAGAGCATAGCCTGAGGACAGGAAGGTCTGAGAGTGTCTCAGAGAGGAGGGTCTAGGTCCCTGGGCTAGGAGGAGGGCGGTGGGTGACTCGGGAGCTCACGAGACTTCAGGAAGTCCCTGTACTTGGCCAGGAAAGGGTTGATCAGAGTGTTCAGCTCTTGCCGAAGCTCCTGCAGAGCCTTGTCTCGCTCTTGGGGCTCCCCGGTCACCTGCTGCCGGTAATAGTTGATGTAGAAGTTCATCCAGTCCTCCACCACAATCACCATGTCTTCTTCAGAGATGAGAGGGTCATTGAAGACCTGGGGGGTGGCGAGGGAGAATATGGTCAGCAATGGAATTCAGAAAACCCAGAATAGTCCGGCAACACCAGCTCTCACATCCTCTTTCCTCTGTGTTGTATCCCGCGTCTCTTGCTGTTTCCACCAGTACTTCATCCGCTCCAATTAGCCTCTTTTTTCTGCCCTCATCCTCCACCCCCCAGCCTCCAGGCCAGTCCTTTGAAGGGGAAAGCCTGGACTCACCTGCTGATTCAGCAGAACATTAAACTCCTTCCGTCCTGCAGAAATGAGATCCTTATTGGCCTTAAGAAGAGCCATCTGCCTGGATAGAGAAAAAGGTAGAGTTGACATATTACTTTCCCTCCTCACTGAGTGTTTCCCCCAATCCACTCCCTCCCCTTAAAAATCCCTCCTCCCCTGCAGGGCCACCTCCTTTCCAAAACCTTTCACATCCTGCTCTGCTATGAGGTCATGATTTTCCCAGGTTAGGTTCACCTTCAGCTCTAGCAGGCTGTGTACGTCTCACCCACGCTCTTGAGGGTGCGTGAATCTCTTTGTGCCAAGCTATAGATGTAGGCAAGGAGTCGAATGTCAGCCTAAGACAGAAACGCCCTGCAACTAGGTCCTGAAGGAGGGTGATAGGTCATTCTGGGGAGTAGAAGAAGGGAGAGGCTTCCCTGAAGTTAGACAGATAACAAGGCAAAAAAAAAAAGATAAATGAGGAGACCCAGAAAATGCAAGAGCCAAACCAGGACATGTCCTTGCCCTTTGCCCCATGTCTCAGTATCCAGGGTCGAAATGCTATGGAAATTGACATTTACTGTTACATGACAGAGGCTTTTGTGTAATTACAATGATGCAATGGCAACTATTCTCCTAATTCAGAGATGATTAATAACAGCTTGCATTACATTTATTCATTTGTGCCAAACACTGTTTCAAACATGTATAAAAATTTATCCTATAAAATTCTTTTTAGACACATTTTGCAGATAAGCCATCTGTAAGCGCGTGGATCAAATTCCACCAGGCTGCGCTCCACAAGAATGGAAATGAATAGCTGGGCATGGTGGTGTGTGCCTGTAGTCCCAGCTACTTGGGAGGCTGAAGCAGGAGAATTGCTTGAACCCAGGAGACAGAGGTGGCAGTGAGCTGAGATCATGCCACAGCACTCCAGCCCGGGTGACAGGGTGAGGCTCCATCTCAAAAAATAATAATAAAAAACAAAGAATGGAGATGCATTTGTGTTGTTTATTACCATGTCAATAGGTACCCAATAAAGCAGAAATACTGCTTCTTTTTAAATATTTTTCCTAGTATTTTCCATTTTCAGTAGATGTTTCTGAGATTTCAAAATCCCTACATACTAATTGAAATAAAACAATACAGAAATGTACACTGAAAAGTTGAATCATTTTTGCCCCCTTTAATGTAACCAATATTAAACATGTGTATATTTCCTGTCACTTTTTCTTCCATTCAAAACCCAACATTCATGGGTGCCTATGCACTCATAAAGGTTTGCTGATTTGCCTTTTTGGTTGTAGCAATTTTAAATTAACATACAGCAAAATTGACTTCGTTTTGGTGTTCAGTTTATTACTTTTTTTTTTTTTAAATGGATTTTCGCTGTTGTTACCCAGACTGGAGTGCAATGGCACCATCTCGGCTAACCGCAACCTCCACCTCCTGGATTCAAGCAATTCTCCTGCCTCAGCCTCCCAAGTAGCTGGGACTACAGGCGTGCACCACCATGCCCAGCTCATTTTTTGTATTTTTTAGTAGAGACAGGGTTCCACCATGTTGACCAGGATGGTCTCGATCTCTTGACCTCGTGATCCACCCGCCTCGGCCTCCCAAAGTGCTGGGATTATAGGCGCAAGCCACTGTGCCTGGCCCTTACTAATTTTTTTTTGAGAGGGAGTCTCACTCTGCCACCTAGGCTGGAATGCAGTGGCACGATCTCGGCTCACTGCAACCTTTGCCTGTCTCATCCTAGATGAGTCACTGAAGGAAGGGTTGAATGTGAGATTACAAAAGCACATGTTCTAAAGAACTGTAGAAAACCAGGATCACAAACCCATTCTGCAACAGAAAAATAAAGCACTGCTGATTTACAGAGGAATTCACAATAGATGATGTCTCTTAAATTAAGAAACCTAATAGGAACTCCCTCATCGAGGCAGGCTCTAACAAGAAATTAGCCAGAGCCAGAGGGAGGAAAAAAGAACTGATATGGTAACTGTTTAGACCTCCAGGAATGTCTCTCCTTCCACGGAGAGGACTGCAGTGAAGACCTCAACCATCAGGGAAAGAAGAACCTGTCCAGAAATCTGATTGGAATTGACGACACAAATCCCACTCTCAGGCAAAGCAAAACCCTGACTTTCTCATGGCAGTACCAGGTTAGAATCAGAGCAAAAAGCAGGTTGTAGATTTCATGTTACATAGTTTGGCCATGGTTTCCCCTGTGAACACTTTGCGAGGGAGGTGAGAGCTGAGGTTAGGTGGAAACTTGGTCTTATTTCCTGGAGATGTGACATTTTGGGGGCCTGTTCCTGCTGTAACTAGCACAGCAATCAGGACCTGCAGCCACCAGAGGGGCCCAGGGCTAGGGAGGAAACAGGGTCCTTGCGCTTCCGAAGGTCAGTGTAGGAGGGAGGAGCTTTCTCTGGGTCCATTCAGGAGAGACTTGTCCTTTCCCCCTCTCCTGCCCCACCCCACGGGCCACTTTCCTGTCCCCTGACTCCCACTTGACTGTTTTCATTGATTGGAGCTTAGCTCAGAAAATGAAGGGAGTTGAAGTTACGAGTTATGGGAGGGGGGATTTAGGTTTGGGAGGACTCCTTGATTGGCACTACCAGCCACATCTGCAGCCACATGAGGGTCCCAAAGGTGTGGTAGGGGACAGTGTGACTGGCCAAGAACCAGGGTCTCCCAGGGACTCACAGACACCTGCTCCACACATCCTGAGGGTGCTGAGGGAGACCCAGCCAAGATCAGCTGTGCTCCTGGGTAGACAAGAGCATGCCCTGCGGGGACCCAGCCCACTCAGGAAGGATGCCCAGAGTGGCTGAGTGTGCACCTCCCTCTTCTGCCTCTCCTTCTCCATTGCAAAACACTGGGGCTCAGAAGTTACAGCTGCCAGACTCCAGAACGGCCCTCCTCCCCAGCAGTGGGGGTAGGGTAGGGGGCCTCAGATCAAATTCAAGAAAAATCTTCCAGCCACGTGGTATAGAACCAAAGCTAAAGAGGCTGCCCTAATAATACACAGCAGCAGCTCCTTACAGACAGGCTTAGACTGACAGGATCTCAGAATGCAAATCTCCACAGTTGAAAGGACGCCTGCCCTAACAGAAGACTGCACTTCTTTAAGCAAATACAGGTTTATCCCAGTAGATAAACTGGGATCATCTGGCCCATTATTTAAAAGTACCTCTGTATGTTCAAATTATGTTAGTGGAATAAAAGTCATGACATGAACATTTTCCTTGGAAAGAAACATCCCGCAAATGGCTCCTGCAGCCTAAAACATCCTCTGGAACTTCCTTGAGGCCATGCACATCATGGCTGCTAAAACTACGATGAGAACCAAGTCTCATTTTTCTACAGGTAGATGGTACAATCGGAGACAAAGGCCTGGGCAGCCCCATTGCACGTTTCAGGAGGAAAGGTAACATCAGCTAGGGGATTAGACTTTCCTCCAGATATTCTTTCCTTTAAACTAATTGTCTTCAAATTCTTTGTCCCTTCTCCCTAGAGAATCTTTGTGTATACCCCCACACAGGTTTTGTAGACACTTATTTTTGCATCATATGTTTAAATTATAGCAAAGGATTTTAATTGTGGCGGGATCCAGACACATTAAAACAAACCACACCTCACTCTTTCGGATGTGTCCAACACAATGTTACTGGGGTGGTGATTTGGCCCTGACCACTATATAATTTTAAAAAAACCAGACAAGTCCTTCGTTAGCGGCTGCGAGTTTTACATCATGCCTTTTACTTCTTGAACTTGCATTTCTGTTCCACTACCCCCACTTAACTTCCTTATCCTAAGGTAACTCACGCTTTTATGCTTCTCAGGGTTCTGTTCAGTCCCATTCTACTTACTTGCAACTTCTCTCATTTTCTGTCTCTTTCTATCTGTTGGTGTCTCTGTTTCACTCTCTCTCCGTATAGATAGATGGATAGATAGCTCTGACATATACATATATATTCAAGAGGAAATTTATGTATATATAACATATATATGCATATTTAGTAAAACTCAGTTCACCAGAGTGAATGTTTCCAATTGTAATAAATATTTGTGAAACAGAAATTCCAATTGTATTGGAAATAAACCTCTAATCAGATGGATGGCATAGAATTGGGGGAATTACTGAAGGATCCCTATTCTGAAGGTCTGAGACAATACCCCTTGTAAATTTCAGGCAGGTGAGATTGGCAAGTGGGAGAAGGAAGGAGGCGTGAGAAGGGCCCGGGGGCAGGAACTCCCCTAGACACAGTTCCTGGGTCTAGTTGATTTTGAGAATGAGTGAGAATGGACTCCAAAGATCTGGAATTGGATTCTCTAAACCTTCCCAGGTCCACATACCCACTGGAAGAGGTTTTCCTGCTCATCTTGAGACCATGGTGCTCTGACCGCTGGGGCCTTTGAAATACTTGGATTAATAGGAGACAGCTGAATTCACACCACTGCTTCTTCTCTGGGGAACTCCACCCCACACTGCTGAGCAGAGGAGAATGAAAAGGTTAAATAACATGGAGTGTCAATTCAGACATGGTTTGGCCTCATAGAAGCCATCCTGTGACTGTCAGGAGTCCCCGCCACTGAAAACCCCTAATCCTGATCAAGGAAACCAAGCTTCAAGGGACAGGGGAAGCTGGAGACAGGCGAGATGCAGGGGGGTTGTTACTAAAGACATGATCGGGCATGCACTGCCCACGTCTCTTGGCGTGGACCTGGTTGACAGTAGACAGCAGTGGTGTAACCGACCGCAGAGCGGACAGATTGTCCAAGGTGAGCAGCCACTGCGGAATGAGCTTGGCTTGGCTCCTGCGCTCTGGCGAGGTGGGTCTCAGTCGGAACTCCCACAAGGGTGGACCCTGGAGGCAGCATCCAGGCTGGAGGATTTGGGGTCATCTTGGGGGAAAACTGAGCTAAGGTTCCCACAGGGGCCATTTAAAGTGTGGGCTGGTGGCATGAGGCCCCAGCCTTCTCCGGCCTTAAAAATATATTTTTTTTTATGAAACAAAACTTATTTAATTGACATGATAAAAATTTTGTGATGGAGAAAGATGTAGATTAGTATTTAGAAGACCGCTCTGTGCACCTGAACCCTCCTCACTGGACGTGGCTGGCAACTCTGAACACTGTGAGAATGAGGGACAGAAGCCCTGCACTTGGCTCTTGGCTCTTTGTAGAAACATAAAAAATGGAAGGGAAATACCTCCTGTGTGTGTTTTGAGAACTCTTCCTCTTCTCTCATGTTTGATAGGGATAATAACCTTGTCCAGGTATAAGAGGCACAGTTACCAACAGCACCCTCCTCAGCCTCTCACACGGGTCCTTCTCTGGCCCTCAAACCTCGTTCTGGCCTCGACTCACCCTCCCAAAAACATTACCAACCATGTTCCTCCCACCTAAGGTATTCCAAGCTCTTGTTCACCTTGGTCATGTTAAAAACAAAACAAAACAAAAAAAAAACTTTAGGCAAATTAGGTTGAACAGGATTTAATTGAGCAAAGAATGACTTGCAAACCAGGCAGCTCCCTTAACCGGAATGGTTCAGAGAGACTCCGTGCTGCTGTGTGGTCAGAGAGGATTTATGGACAGAATAAAGCAAGTGACATACAGAAACAGGTACTACAGGAGTGGGGTACAGAACAGCTGCATTGGTTACAATTGGCATTTATCTTATTTGAACATGGTTTGAACAGTTGGCCAAAGCCCAGTGATGGGTAGAAGTCGTCTGTTCATATACTGTCCAGCACCCCCAAGCAGTTTCTCTCTCCCTGGACTGTTCACAGACTGTTATCACCTGTGGGCTTGGATAGGAGGGGTCCCAGGATAGTCTCACACCAGGCA